GTGCTTCTGGTAGGGTCCACCTGCCTCCTGGGGGTCTTTGAGATGCACGTCTGCAGGCTTCTCCTCAGCACTCCTTATCTAGCATGTCAGCCCCACAAAGGGAGGCCTGGGGGCCTCTGTCCGTTGCTGGGTCCTCAGGGTCTGGCATAGCGCCCCGCACAGAGTCGGAGTGTGGTCACACTTGCTGATGAACCAGCCTGGCCAACCCCCTGGAGCCGCATGGTTCAGGGCCCACAGCTGGGGCCCTCCAGCGGCGCCATCACATGACAGACCTCAGACTGCTGTGTGCCCTCCCACCCTCCTGATGTGGCACCCACAGACCAGCAGGGTCTTCAGGCAGCCCGTGCCCGAGGGGACTCACCCGGCCCCACAGGCCTTTCCACTGGGCACCTTCTTTTTCTGCCTTTTTTTTTTTTTTTTTTTGGAATAAGTAGCAGGGTCTTTATCATCATCACCATTAACAGACTCTAAACCCAGAGGAAAGCATTCAAGAGGTTTTCCTGCTCAGCTGCTGGTTTATTTTAAACTGTCGGAGTTGATAGCCCAATCCACTTTCTGATGTAACTATGATGGTTTTAGGAGATTTAGACATGATTTTTTTTTTTATAGCATGAAAAAGAAAAATAGAACTGAATATATGATAATGATGAATCCTTCAACTTTTGTGTCTGAAATGGCTTCTAGGCATGAGTTATTGCATAATAATTCATGCCCTGTTGTGTCTTACTGCTTAATAAGCCTATGGAAAATGGTGATGTCAGAACTGCCTTTCTGTTGTCATTTTGGTGCCGTTGAAATTGTGCTTGTGTGGCAGTTGAGGGGAGAGCTGAGGGCCCTCACTGATGAAGCCATCAAGGGCACCCCCAGGAGAAGCCGTTCACGGGCCACATACCAGAGGCCGGGAAAATATGAAAAGATCTGTCGGCATCAACTTCTCCTCCAACAAACCACAGGATTTCCTACTAATACGGCCACCAGCTTCTCTCTCTTCAGGTATCTCAGCCACAGAGACGCCGACTCAGTCCTGGACACATGTCTGAAGTTGACATTGTGTCTTAGGTGGAAACGGCCATTTGCATTTGCGTAGGTGTGGATTTGCTTGCACCCGAGGCCTCCGTCACAGGGCATGGCTCCTGACATCCAGCTCGAAAAGGGCAGAGAATCCTTAGGGCCGCTGGTCCCACGTGGCGGACCCTGGTGCCTGCCTTTATCATAGCTTCGGGCCACAACTCACCTTCTCACTAGACCGTGAGCTCGTAGGGCTCAGACCGCTTCTGCTCTCGCCTCAGAACCCACCAGCAAAGGCCTGTGGCCGAGCCAGTCAGTGTGAGCCAGAGGGGGGTCAAAGCAGGTGTGAAAGGAGCGTCTGCGTTAGTAGCGCATTCTGCGCAGTTTCACTAGTTGGGAATCTTTATTCTGAGGAGTTAATCCAAGACGTGTTTTCTAAGTAGCTCAGGACAAGGACTGTGGCCCCGGTGTTTCTCTCACCACAGAGACGACTCTGACACGCACTCGGGCATTGCGTGAATGCCTCGCGAACACGTGCCCCCGGCCACTGACCCGTCGCACAGCGAGCCCTGATCTGCGCTGCAGGAAAATGGCACTTGGGGAGGGAAGAAGTCCCGTGGCCGGGAGCAGCCTGGGCCATGTGTGTTACACACAGCAATAGACGGATGCTCCTGCCCCGCTCTCTGTCCACCACTTTCCAGCCAGGAGACACGGATCGAGTCCCTTCTCCCCTCTGGGCCTTCGTGTACCACGCAGGGAAGCTGACCTGTGACGGCCAGACTCTTTCAGGTCTGGGCGGTCCCTGTGCCCCAGGACCAGGTGTTCAGGCCCATCAGGCCCCGTCCTCTTCCCAGGGCAGAGCCAGTTCTGTCTGTGGGCTCCCTGGGAAGAATGCTGGGAGTCAGGGTTAGTGAGGACAGGGCAGGAGCTGCACCCCGAGGGCCACTGGAGGCCACAGAGTCCTGTCCACACAGTGACTGTGACCCAGGGCCCATCCACAGGTTTCCTTTGTTCTGGTGAGCAGGCCACAGAAACTGGCTCCAGCAGCCAGCGGAGCTGCAGAGTCATCAGGCGACTGCTATCGAGGGCGATTCCGCTGCCGCCGCTGCCCTGAGGGACCCTCTCAAGGCCTGGGGACCCCTCAGCCCTCACGGGAGGCTGGCTCACGGGCACGGCCAAAAGCAACTTTGTTTTGTCTTCAGCCGGCGGCTTGTGCTCATGTATTTATACACAGGAGAAAGTGCAGTTGGCCGTGGGAGAAGTTCATTTTGTTTAATTTTTAATCAGAGACCACTGCGGAGTGGCCCTCGACAAATTCGAGTGCAGAGGAGAGCTCGTCGCATGGGGCTCCTAAGCTCACGGACAGAGCCCCAGGCCGCTGCCTGACCCTCCAGCTGGAGTCAGGCCAGACTCCAGCGACACTTCCGGAATGCTCCACACAGCCGGTGTCCTGCTTCCCCACCCTGGGAGCACCTCACGCGAGTGTCCTTGGTGATTCTGCATCTTTAATCTTCCCCATTTTTTGTTTGTCTGTTTTTGAGACGGAGTCTCCCTCTGTCGCCCAAGCTGGAGTGCAGTGGTGCAATCTGGGCTCGCGGCAACCTCCACCTCCCAGGTTCAAGCGATTCTCATGCCTCAGCCTCGCGAGTAGCTGGGATTACCTGCATGCACCACCACGCCCAGCTAATTTTCGTATTTTTAGTAGAGATGGCTGGTCTCAAACTCCTGACCTCAAGTGATTCACCAGCCTCGGCCTCCTAGAGTGCTAGGATTACAGGCATGAGCCACTGTGCCTGGCACCCGCTTTAATTTTGTTTGACTTTGTTTGTGGCGTCATTTAGCGGAATGGGGTCACGTGAGTTTCGCAGCCAGCGGTCCTGAGTTGGAATCATGGTTGGGCCACTTCACTACTTGGGGCAATGACCCTTCTTCTGGGCAGCAGTGTCCTCATCTGTAAAGAAATGGCATTAATGCCCTCCTCCTGAAGGTGCAGGATCTATGGCGAGATGCACATAAGGTGCCTGGCATATGACCGATGTTCAGGCACTGGTCCCTTCCCTCCATTTCCAGAAGCCCTTGTGTGTTCGTGCCTCCCCAGCTCACTGGAGCGTCATACCTCAGGTCTTCCCTGGGCCGTGTTCTGCTCTGAACCCTTCTAAGCATGACAGAAAGTGGACTCAGCCTGCCAGGCAGGCAGGTGAATTGCACGAAAGTGTCTGCCTCAGTGTCCTTGTCAAAGGCATGCGGCAGGTGCCCTTGGAATGAGGAGGAGCCCTGCCACGGCCATCAGCGGTCCGGACATCACGCTGAGCAGCACCCTGCAGCCTCCCTGGAAAGCTGTGTTCTGTGGCCTCTGCAGCTTGTCTCAGCCTCGCCAGGCAGGGTGACAGAGTGACCTCCTGGCCGGGCGTGATTGTGGTGCTGGTCAGCTGCCTGTGACAGCAGGCAATCTAGCCGTCCTCTGTGGACCTGCACGGTGCCCTCCAGACACCCCCGAGGAGAGTGTGGTGATGTGGGGCAGGAGGGAGCCCAGACACTGCAGAGGGAACAGACCAGCCTGGACTGCCCTGCGGATAGAGCCCTGGTGGGTGGGTGGGCCCCTGCTTCCCCACTTGCCTCCAGCATGCAGCTGCAGAGCAGGGACCGTGCAGATCAGTGCGCTGTGATGAACAGCCGGGCAGTGTGCGGACAGCACTGCAGACCCAAGCTGGCCACATGACGCGGGGGCGCCCGAGTGCCCAAGAACTGACAGCTCTTGGAGTCTACAGCCACACGGCAGGGCCTGGTTCATTCCCGACTTCCTGGTGCACGCCCCGCGCACCTTCCCTGTGCGGAGCCCACCTGTGCTGCCCACTGCCCCCACAAAATTCCTCCTGGGAATGACCCTCTGTAACCAGGACTCGTGGGCCATCGTGGTTATGACTATGTGCTCGGCCCTATCACATCCCACCAGAGATCAGAGGCCCCGGGAAGCACCTGCAGTGCTGGGGTTGCAGAGCAAATGAGCTCGGAGCCAGGATTGAAGGCCGGGGCTGAAAGGCAGGGCTCGGCTGCCTCTTGTGTGTTGACGTTTAGCACGATGTTTGCAGGACTGTGTGTATCATTGTGCCTGGATTCATTCTGGATTTGGATTTCTACTTCATTTTTAATATGTTTAATTTAAAGCAACTATCTGATTTCTGGGTTGATATTCAGAGGTCAGAAACCAAAAATGGTGAGAGGGCAATGCGATTCGTGCTTATTTTTGAATTATCTGCATGAAGCATGGGGCCTGGGCCATAGCCTTCACTTAGATGTTACTAATAAGTGAATAAAAAAATCAAATTCCATAAATGGTCTGTATCTTATGCAAAGTAATTTAAAAATGTTAAGAGGAGACTATGAAACAATAAAATGGCACCCATTAGACTTACTCTTAAAGCTTGACCTGTCCAGGTGTTTAGAGCAGAGTGGTGTATGATCTGTCCGATGGAGTCGTGGTAAAGTAGTATTTGAGGCCATTCATTCAGCAAACATGTACTGGGCTTCGGATGCTCTGCGAGGTACTCAGGATAGAAAGCAAGTAAAACACACTGTCCTGCTTGGAAGGGCCCACAGCTCAGTCCATTCACGTGAAACAACGGAGGTGGGATGTCAGGAAAGGCCCATCCGCATCGCGGGTGCAGAATCCGAGCTCAGGGACCCAAATTCCCCCTTGAGAGGCAGCTGGACGTGGGGCGGGGGTTGTGCTCCTCTTTCCAGCTGTCTTGGGCCCCACCTGAGGCAGAGGCAATGGCCCGGCAGCGTCGGGAAGGTTCAGAGGGCTGGTGCTTGTGGCCCCCGTCTCCTGCACAATCAGGATCAGAGCCCTAAGTGCCACGCACAAGCCTGAGAAGAGCGAAGGGTCTCCAGACCTTCATGCCTCTACAGTCAGTCCAGACCCTCGCAAGGGGGAGCTGCAGAGACCCTCTTGGGGCATCTGTAGCGAACAGAACACTTTGTCTTCACAACAGCCAAGCGAAGTTCTTCCTCCTGCTGAGGGAACAGATCCCGTGTGACCTTCATGCCGTCATGGATTGGAAACTGCTAATGTGTGTTCCTTTTGAAATATGCAAGATGTTGCGCGTGATTAAACTGAGGGAAGATTAAGGTGAGTTACTCCTTTGTTTAAACTTTGGCTTCTTGGGTAGTCTTATTAAGGGAAGGGATTTAAAGTGCTTAAAAATTCAATAGGACAAAGGGCATGTTGTGGTTCAAGACTGATGTATTGCCATACAGGATGCGATCTGTTCCAAGGGCCGTAAAGCAGTCAAGTGAGCTCGCTGTGGTTGGAGCCGGCCAATTATAACACCTCCTGAAGTCACAGGGACGCAATCTGCAGGCTCCTGGGATGGCTTGGCTGGCAGCTTGGACAGCTGGGCTCCTCCAGGCGCTTCCGAGCCCCCTTCCGTCCTGTCAAGGTCATCCTAGCCATTCCCCTGTGGCTGTCTCCCCAGCCAGTGGCTAACGTCACCTGCAGACCAGCCTTTAAAGATAGGATGCCCCTCACTTCCCTTCAACATCCACTTGACTTTTTGCAAAATCCTTATTTTAGACATTCCTCCTTATCCTTAAGACATGTCCTTTGGTGGGGTCCTCTCTTGGGGCGAATCCATTCAGGGCTCACAGCAAGAGGGGAGCACACGAAGGAGAAGGACTGGATTAGGGGACAGGAGCATTGGGAGGGTGTCAAATTCTCCATCTCTGCGTTTTGTGGCTTCTCTGAGTGTTTCCTCGTGGGTACTGGGAGGATGATGTTTGCTGTGGGAACCAACCAGTGTCAACATGAGAACCAAGTGCTGCTTGTTGAGTGAGGCCTGAAGACCTGGAATCTGGAGTCAGACAGGCCTGGGCTTGTATTTCACATCTGCCACTCATTGTGGGGCCAGGGTGGCAGTGACTTACTTTCCTTGTGCTTTGGTACCTGCATTTGTTAAGTGGGGATAATAGCATCTAATTCATTTCAATGAGGATGTTCTCAGGCTTAATGCTATAATTTATGGAACTAGTGCTTGGCCCAGTGCAGAACCTCAAGGAATGGCGGCCACTTTTACAGTTATTAACTCAACGATAGTGTTATTATCACTCTTACTCCTACTTCCATTACCATGACTACAATGCACGGTGCAGAGGCCCTTCAGAAAGCGCAGAGCCCCTTGCAGGTGCGAGGACTGATTCCGGGTAATGTCCAGGCTCACCTGATGAGGGCTGTAATTACCCCGAACTTGCTACTGGTCTTTCCTGCCAGTAACCCTTGCAGAACAGCCACCGGGAGCCTTTTATATTGTGTGTCATAAAAACAACTCTGATTGGGTTCTTATGAAGTAGGGTGTGTAATGGCCCCACCTGTCACAGAAGCAGAATGCATTTCCAGATTGAAAACGACTAGGACTCCGTTGCTCCTGTGCGGGCGAGCTGTGACTTGCACTTTGTAGCTGCACACACTGGCGCATCCTTGTGCACGTAATGACTGCCTCAGGCCAGTGTGTGTATGTGCAGATGGCACTGCCCTTCCCTTCAAGCTGTGCTAGTGAAATACCTCTCACATCCACCCGGTGAGACCCAAGCCTCTTCCTGTCTCAGCCTTCTTCACTCTCATCTCAGCCTTTTTCTTCCTAGTCGAGGTGTTGATGAGTTAGTGCAGTCACTCATTCACACCAACAAGCATGTATGGAGGGCCTGCGGTATAGCAGCACCGGTGACACCAGCTAGGAAACCAGCGTGTAGGCTGCCCACTCTGTGGGGCACACACGTCGGGGCCCGAGAGAGCAGGAGGAGCTTGTGTGCTTTCTGTTTGGCTGAGGAAACCAAATACAGGGACAAAGGGACAAGTCACCCAGGCACCACGCTGTGCTCGCACATGTGCAGACGTCCCGCAAGGGTGGACCCCGTGTGGGGCCTGGCCTGTGCCCAGCACTGGGTTAGAATGTGGCATCGTGCCTGTCTTAGTGAGCTCACACCTAGATGAGGGACGCTCTGGTGAACACACAATTTAATCTTCAATAGAATCCAGACAGGTAAATGTCAGGTTTTAGAAGGGGAGAAAGACCACGTTTGGCAAAGAGGCACATGATGGCTTTGAAGATCTGGGAAAGGTGGAGCTTGAGGTGAGTCAGGCCCGTGCTGGGATGAGAAATAGGGGTTCAGCCGAGGGGACTCATGAGATGCAGCCAGAGGAATGGTGCCAGGGTGCACACACACGGGGACCCCCTGCCACGGAACATACACAGGAGAACCCCCTGCCACGGTACACTCACAAGAATGGGATGTGAGTCAGACAGTGATGAGTGATGGTCCCCCACGCCAGGCAGACAAGCTGCGGTGGAGCTAGGTGGCAAAAAGGATGGAGAGAGGTCCCCGTGTGTGTGCTCCGTGGCAGGGGGTTCCTGTGTGTGTGCACTTCAGGGCAGGGGGTCCCTGTGTGTGTTCACCGTGGCAGGGGGTCCCCGTGTGTGTTCACCGTGGCAGGGGGTCCCCGTGTGTGTGCACTGCAGGGCAGGGGATCCTCGTGTGTGTGCACCCTGGCAGGGGTCCCCGGTGTGTGCACCCTGGCAGGGGGTCCCCGTGTGTGTTCACCGTGGCAGGGGGTCCCCGTGTGTGTTCACCCTGGCAGAGGGTCCCCGTGTGTGCACTGCAGGGCAGGGGGTCCCCATGTGTGTGCACCCTGGCAGGGGTCCCTGGTGTGTGCACCCTGGCAGGGGGTCACCGTGTATGTTTACCGTGGCAGGGGGTCCCCGTGTGCATTCACGGTGGCAGGGGGTCCCCGTGTGTGTCCACCGTGGCAGGGGGTCCCCGTGTGTGTGCACCCTGGCAGGGGATCCCCGTGTGTGTGCACCCTGGCAGGGGGTCCCCGTGTGTGTGCACTGCAGGGCAGGGGTCCCCGTGTGTGTGCACTGCAGGGCAGGGGTCCCCGTGTGTGTGCACTGCAGGGCAGGGGTCCCCGTGTGTGTGCACTGCAGGGCAGGGGTCCCCGTGTGTGTGCACTGCAGGGCAGGGGTCCCCGTGTGTGTGCACTGCAGGGCAGGGGGTCCCCGTGTGTGTGCACCCTGGCAGGGGTCCCTGGTGTGTGCACCCTGGCAGGGGGTCCCCGTGTATGTTTACCGTGGCAGGGGGTCCCCGTGTGCATTCACGGTGGCAGGGGGTCCCCGTGTGTGTCCACCGTGGCAGGGGGTCCCCGTGTGTGTGCACCGTGGCAGGGGATCCCCGTGTGTGTGCACCCTGGCAGGGGATCCCCGTGTGTGTGCACCCTGGCAGGGGATCCCCGTGTGTGTGCACCCTGGCAGGGGGTCCCCGTGTGTGTGCACTGCAGGGCAGGGGTCCCCGTGTGTGTGCACTGCAGGGCAGGGGTCCCCGTGTGTGTGCACTGCAGGGCAGGGGTCCCCGTGTGTGTGCACTGCAGGGCAGGGGTCCCCGTGTGTGTGCACTGCAGGGCAGGGGTCCCCGTGTGTGTGCACTGCAGGGCAGGGGTCCCCGTGTGTGCGCACTGTGGCAGGGGTCCCCGTGTGTGCGCACTGTGGCAGGGGTCCCCGCGTACCTGCATGCACACGGTGCGCTTCATGCACACAAATATGAGTTTACCTGGAAAGGACAGACTGGCTTGGAAGCTGTTGTAATAATTTCAGGTAAAGCGGTTTAGGCTGGATGGACTGGCTGTAGAACCGGAGAGACAGGCAGCTTTCGTCCTGGGGAAGGAGTGGGAGATGACCCGAAGGGTGGGTTTGTGAAAAGGAGAAATAGGTGTCAGGGAAGAACCCTAAAAGGCCCCTGGACCTGATCTCCCAAGAAGACACGCCTCAGCTACTCTTGTGATCATTAAAATGTGACAGAGTTAAATCTTCACTAGTCAGAATTTCATCCTAGCACCCCCTCCCATCTGCAGAACCCTGATACCTGGTGTTGGGAGTGGTGGCCAAGACTCCAGAGAAGCAAGTCAATTAGGTGCAGTTCTACCAGGGGAATTTAGCCAGGGAAAAGGCAACCCTGCCTGAACCAGAGCATCCACCAGGGCCTCAGGATGCCCCCTGGAGAGCCCCACCAGCCGCCAGTCTTCTGCAGCTAACAGGCTGTGGTCAGGCAGGCAGGGGTCAGTTGGATGTTGGGGTAACCTAGCGTGCACCTGCCTTCCAGCCTAGAGGACTTGGGAGCTCCTGCAGGCAGGCGAGGTGACCTCTCTACAACCCAATCAGCCAAGCCCTTCCCCAGACATCACTGACCCCAAAGGGCTGACTACACTTCCCTTTAAAATAACAATCACAAACCAATACCTCCCATAATAGAAGCTATTTTCATATATAAATCAATATATTTCCCTTTCTCTTTCTGTAAGGAAGACAGAGGATTGTAATTTATTTCTCTTTCCTTCTGTGTATAAACTAATTTTTTCTTGTTATAAAAGAAAGAGAATTCTAATTTGCTGCTTTGGAACAAGCCCAGGAATGGAGCCTAAGTATGTGGAGGGAACTCTGGAGATTACAGAGTGAAGTTCAGCTGACCTGGTGCCACAAATTAAGCTGCAGTCCACTTAAGCTGCCAACAACAATAAATTAAGCTATTGTGCTTGGAGGACGTTGGGATTGGCACTGCATAGGATCAAGGCTGTATTAAGTGGAGGCACTTACTCCCTCGCTCCTGCCGCCAGCCCTAGCTGAGGGGGCTTGGCGTCTACTTCTCCTTGAAATGCGTGATGTCTGACCTTCCATTTCAGCGTGCGTATCATCAGCACGGTGCCCCAGGGTGCTGAGAGTTCACGTTGTTCTTGGTCATTTAACAGGGTAAGGGTGATAAAGTCAGGAGATTCGCCTTTGACGAAATAACATGAACATTCTCTAAAGTGAGACCTGTGAGTAGTAGAGGTGGGCTGAACCACAAGACGCACTGATGAGGCCCATACTCTTTTCCTTTTCATCTGAGGCCATTCTGTCTGGCTCTTCATACCCCCAGAGGCCAGTCATGGTTTTGTTTACAAAATGACATAAGGTAGCCTCTGGAAACCTTGTTGTGGGATGACTCAGAGGTGATGAGCCTCAAATGAGTTGGAGGTTCTAATAAGGGGGTTACATATTCCACGCTCCCACCACTGCCTTCAAATCTATGGAAATCTTACAGAAAAGAGTGTAGTCAGCCACTTGGGGTCGGTGATATCCGGGGAAGGGCTTGGCTGATTGGGTTGTAGAGGGTCACCTCACCTGCTTGCAGGAGCTCCCGAGTCCTCTAAGCTGGAAGGCAGGTGCACGCTAGGTTACCCCAACATCCAATTGCACCTAATTTACTTGCTTCTCTGGTCTTGCTGGTCTTTCCTCCCAGTAAATCATTAGTTATTCTGAGCTTGTAGAGAGGGCTAAGGTCACTCCTTTTCTCTTTTTCTTTGTCTCTTCCCCTTCTCTTTCTTGTATTCCTGTCCCACATACAGGCATTTGAGGTGGCTCATAAATCAGTCATAGCAGACAATGCTGCTGTCGGGAATAAGGGCAGAAAAGAGAATCCACAAATGGGTGTGAGGAGTTCAGGGTTCCCAGCACGAGTGTCTTCTGGTGCTAAGTCGTAGTCTGCAGATGCTGTGCACTGAGACTCTCTCCCTCACACCTGTCACCATGCCCTCCCCTCCCCTGGGGTGACTCTAACACAGCTCTCCTTGCTCTCTGGAATGTTCTAATGTTCCATAAATTAGTCGACGCCCATCCAACCTGAGGCAGGATGATGCAACCTGTGGCTTCACAGAAGCTTGGATTTGCTCACCAGGGTCCTGTCTGGGCCTCTAGCCATTGATTTAGCAGGTTCAGTAAACAGCTTGTGCTGTCTGGGCTGACCCCTGCCTGCCTGACCACAGCCTGTTAGCTGCAGAAAACTGGCTGGTGGGGCTCTCCAGGGGGCATTCTGAGGCCCTGGCGGATGCTCTGGTTCAGGCAGGGTTGCCTTTCCCTGGCTAAATTCCCCTAGTAGAACTGGCAGGCCTCTCCTGAGGCGCCATGGCGGAGGGCTGAGAGCCCACCTGCTGCAGCTCAGCCCTGCATATCCACCTGGAAAGGCACACGTCCCTGCGAGGGACCCCGTCTGGGTCCCAGGATGGCTGGGAGGTGCATTAAAGCTTTCTCTTCTTTTACTCTTATCTGGTGAGTCTGTGTTTTTTTGTATAAGGACCCACTTCACTTGTTTAGAGGAATAATGATACATACTTTTTACCTTTCAGACAAGAAATTTAGTCTTTAATTAGATTAAAACATAGGGAAACATAAAAACACAAAAGCAAAACAGATTCATTTGCAAAAATGAACGTATTCTTGGAACTAAAATGCAGTTCTCGGAATGAAGTTCTGTAATGACTTAGAGCAACACAGTAGACCATATATTCAACCCCGGTTTTTCTAAAAGAGATGAACATGCTGTTTAAATGACTGTTGTTGTTGTTGTTGTTGTTGTTGGGGTTTTTCGATGGAATTTCGCTCTTGTTGCCCAGGCTGGAGTGCAATGGCGAGATCTTGGCTCCCTGCAACCTCCGACTCCAGGGTTCAAACTATCCTCCTGCCTCAGCCTCCTGAGTAGCTGGGATTACAGGTGCCCGCCACCACGCCTAGCTAATTTTGTATTTTTAGTAGAGACGGAGTTTCACCATGTTGGTCAGGCTGTTCTCTATCTCCTGACCTCAGGTGATCCACCCACTTCGGCCTCCCAAAGTGCTGGGATTACAGGCGTGAGCCACTGCGCCTGGCCTAAATGGCCGGTTCTTATAATGATCCTTCACAGAGGGCTGAGGCTGGCGCGCTAAGTCACAACACGGTGGTGGGATTACCGAAGGGGTGAGTACGGAAATCAGATCCAGCGACAGGCACTTGGTCCAGTTCCATCTTTGACAGCACAGATAGAAAACACCAGTGATGTTAGCTACACGTACAGTGGATAATATATTTTAAAGACTTGTTGTTCCGTTGTTAGGTTGCAGCCACCACAAAAACTTTTAAAAAATCAGACCGTGGAGGTCCTGTGCAGCCCGACCCTGGCCACAAACCCAAGTCGGGGTGGAGAAAGAATGCGTCCATTTGAGCAGGTGCAGAGACCCTGTCAAAGAAGACATGCAACCCTGCACCCCGCAACCCCGCGCCGGCGGCTCCGTGTTCCGGCCTGGCTCAGCCCCGCGCCGGCGGCTCCGTGTTCCAGGCTGGAGTCAGGCTCACCCACACATCTAGTCGGCCACTCCCCAAACCACCAAACTCATTTCCTCACAGTCCTTCTGGCCATGCTGATAACCTGGGCTTTCTGCCTCAGGGCCTTTCTCCGACTGCTCCATCCCTTCATAGACCCTCCCTGTTCCCTGTCTTGCCTCGTCTTGAACTTTGGGCCAACACTGAGCTGTGCTGCAGCCACTTGAGCACACGGGTTTCCACTCCTAGACTTTTTTAGCCACCTTACTGCTGCCTCCATGCAGACATCTTCACATTTATTTATTTTTTTAAGATATCCAGGTTTTTGTTTGTTTTGAGATAGAGTCTCGCTCTGTTGCTCAGGCTAAAGTGCGGTGACTCGATCTTGGCTCACTACAACCTGTGCCTCCCAGGTTCCAGCAATTCTCCTGCCTCAAGCCGCCTGGTAGCTGGGATTACAAGTGTGTGCCACCACGTTCGGCTGATTTTTGTATTTTTAATAGAGATGGTTTTGGTCATGTTGGCCAGGCAGGTTTTGAACTCTAGGCCTCAAGTGATCTGCCTGCCTCCCAAAGTGCTTGGGTTATAGACATGAACCGCTGTGCCCAGGCAAAGATACCGAGTTTTAAAATGTGCATCCACTCTTTTTAGTATCCAATCTATGAGTTTTTGACAAATGCATGCTGGAGCAGCCACCACCGCAATTGAGACACAGAATCCACCCTGGCCGGCTCCCCTGAGCCGTTCCATGCGGCTGAGTCTCCCCTCCCTCCCCCTTAGCCACCGACAGCCTGTGAGCTGGTCTTCATCTCTCCATTTGCCTTTTCCAGAAGGTCCTGTAAATGGAACCATACGTGTAAAAATACGATCAAACATGTAAATGGGGTCAAAAGTAAACATGTTTTACTAAACACGGTGCATCTGAGATCCCTCCAAGCTGATGCAGGCGTCCGCGGTTCCTTCTTTGTCGCTGATGAGTGCTCCTTTGCACGGACGCACCACAGGTGACCTGTTCTCCGGGCCTGGGTATTTGGGTGAGGATGAGGACGAGGATCAATAAGGCTGCTATAAACATTTCATGCAGATTTGTGCGTGGTCATAGTTTGCTTTACTCTCACCTGCTCGGGAGAGCCCTAGTCATGTGGTAAGTGTTTGCTGAACTTGATAAGAAACTGCCAGTTTCCCGAGGAGGTTATGGCATTCTCCATTCCCGCCAACAGGGAGGTGCATTACAGATGCCCACACCCTTGCCAGCGGTGATATGATCTGTCATTTTAATGTTTGCCTTGCTGGTAGGTATGTAGAGGCATTTAATTGTGGTTTTCATTTGCATTTCTCTAATGACGCCATGTTGAGTCTCTTTTCATGTATGTATTTTCTATCCATACATCTCTGGTGAATTATCTATTCAAATTTTTGTCCTTTAAAAAAAACTGGGTGACGGTTGATTGGATAAAGAAACTGTGGTCCATAATCACCACAGAATACTACACAGCCATAAAGAAGAATGAAATTATGGCCTCTGAGCAATGGATGCAGCTAGAGGCCATTATCCCGGCGAATTGACACAGAATCGGAAAGCCAGATACCGCATGTTCTTACTTACAAGTGGGAGCTAAATCTTGGGTACACGTGGGCATAAGGAGGGAACAGTAGATACTGGGGACTCTAAAAGGAGGGAGGGAGGGGGCCAAGGGCTGAACAACTTCCTAGTGGAAACCGTGTTTACTGTCTGGGGGATGGGATCAATAGAAGCCCAAGCCTCAGTTGGAAAAACCTGCACATGCACCTCCTGAATCTAAAATAAAAACGGAAATTAAAAAACTGCATGTTTTCTAACTGTCGAGTTTGAAAGTGCTTCATATATTCTAGATATAAGTTCTTCAGCAGATATGTAACTTGTAAATAATTGCTTTTAGTCTATAGTTTGTTTTAAAATTTTTGTTAACAAAAGTTTTGAATTTTGCTGAGGTCTACTTTATTAATTTTTTGAACCAAGCATGCTTTTGGTGTCATATCTAAAACCTAATTGCCTCACACAAAGTCTAAATAGTTTTCTCCTATTTTTCACTTAAGATCTTTACAGTTTTGCGTTTTCCATTTAGACCTGTGATCCATTTGACTTAATTTTATGAGCTATGGAAGGCTCTAGGGAGGCTCATTTTGTTGCATATGCGTTTCAATTGTCCAGCATCTTTTGTTGAAAAGATGATTTCTTGAATTGCCTTTGCAGCTTCGTCAAAAATCAATTGACTATATATTTGTGTGGGATTATTGGACTCTCTGTTTTGTTCCATTGATCTATGTATTTGTCCTTTCACTAATACCACATGTGATAAACTCATTTATTTACTTTAGGAGCTTTCTTTTTTCCTAGGATACTTGGAATTTTTCAGGTGGACATTTATGTTTTATGCAAACCAGAAACAGTTTTTTTCTTCCTTTCTATTCCATATGCCTTTCATTTCTGTATGCTGCTGTATTGCAGTGGCCAGAACCTTGGTATCATGTTGAAAAGGAGTGGTGGGAGATGACATCCTTGTTTTGTTCCTGATCAGAGGGGATACATTTTTCAATCTTTGACCACTAAGTGTGATGGCAAATTTTAGTATTTTGTAGATGCTCAATATCATGTTGAGGAATTCCCTTCTATCCCTATTTATATGAGCATGAACCAGTATTGAATTTTGTTGAATGCCATTTCTGTGTTTATTGATATAATCAGGCTTTCTTCTTTAGTCTGGTAACATGGTGGATTATGCTGATTGATTTTCAAATGCTAACCAGCCTTACATGAAGTTGAAGTCCCATAGTGTTGATTTGCTATTTGTCTTAAATATTGAGGATTTTAGTTGCTATTATTTTGTGGAGGATTTTTGTGTCTTTGTTCATGAGGAATAGTGGTCTCTTTTCTTTTATTGTGGTATCTTTGTCTACTCTTGACATCAGAGCAATGCTGGCCTCATCAAGTGAGTTGTACAGGCTTCCCTCTCCTGTTTTCTAGTTTTA